GGCCCTCTGCCGCAGGGCTGCGGGGGGGTTGGGGGGTGGCGTCAGGGGGCCGCGAGAGGAATACAGAATACTAGGTCTGAAAAAGAGGTCTAATTAGTTGGAGAATGGTTGTGCAAAACATTAATGAGATAAACACAAAAGCTCCAAATGGTATTTATATAGTGTGAAATGGTAGCATATGGTTTTATGTACAAACCCCTAAAGAATCTGCGTTGCCAGGGAGCTATAGCTGAAGCTTCTGTATGTTTTGCAGTTCAACATGCAGATCTTTGTGAAGACCCTGACTGGCAAGACCATTACCCTTGAGGTTGAGCCCCGTGACACCATTGAGAATGTGAAGGCCAAGATCCAGGACAAGGAAGGTATTCCCCCTGACCAGCAGAGGCTGGTCTTTGCCGGCAAGCAGCTGGAAGACGGGCGCCCCCTGTCTGACTACAACATTCAGAAGGAGTCCTCCCTCCATCTCGTGCTGCGCCTGAGGGGTGGCATGCAGATCTTTGTGACGACTCTGACTGGCAAGACCATTACCCTTGAGGTTGAGCCCCGTGACACCATTGAGAATGTGAAGGCCAAGATCCAGGACAAGGAAGGTATTCCCCCTGACCAGCAGAGGCTGGTCTTTGCCGGCAAGCAGCTGGAAGACGGGCGCCCCCTGTCTGACTACAACATTCAGAAGGAGTCCTCCCTCCATCTCGTGCTGCGCCTGAGGGGTGGCATGCAGATCTTTGTGACGACTCTGACTGGCAAGACCATTACCCTTGAGGTTGAGCCCCGTGACACCATTGAGAATGTGAAGGCCAAGATCCAGGACAAGGAAGGTATTCCCCCTGACCAGCAGAGGCTGGTCTTTGCCGGCAAGCAGCTGGAAGACGGGCGCCCCCTGTCTGACTACAACATTCAGAAGGAGTCCTCCCTCCATCTCGTGCTGCGCCTGAGGGGTGGCATGCAGATCTTTGTGACGACTCTGACTGGCAAGACCATTACCCTTGAGGTTGAGCCCCGTGACACCATTGAGAATGTGAAGGCCAAGATCCAGGACAAGGAAGGTATTCCCCCTGACCAGCAGAGGCTGGTCTTTGCCGGCAAGCAGCTGGAAGACGGGCGCCCCCTGTCTGACTACAACATTCAGAAGGAGTCCTCCCTCCATCTCGTGCTGCGCCTGAGGGGTGGCATGCAGATCTTTGTGACGACTCTGACTGGCAAGACCATTACCCTTGAGGTTGAGCCCCGTGACACCATTGAGAATGTGAAGGCCAAGATCCAGGACAAGGAAGGTATTCCCCCTGACCAGCAGAGGCTGGTCTTTGCCGGCAAGCAGCTGGAAGACGGGCGCCCCCTGTCTGACTACAACATTCAGAAGGAGTCCTCCCTCCATCTCGTGCTGCGCCTGAGGGGTGGCTGTTAAGTTATTGTGCGTCTTGCTTGACAACAAGATTGCCAATAGCATTTGTGTTTGCACTGTAGTTCTTTGATGTCGTAATATTAAATTAAATGCAAGGTTAATGCAAGCTTAAGTAACTGCTGAACAACTGTGTTGAAATGCTAATAAAGTTTTCTGTTGCACATGACAATTTGTAGTACGTGTCAGTTCAAGCTAGTAAATCTGGTGTGTTTAAGTGACATGCTTACTTCAGCTTTGTTCCTTGGCAGTTTAAGCCTCTTTGCATGTATAATGAGGACCTTGTGGATGGAACAGATCTGGATTAAAGTCTTAATTTAAGCACTAATACCATGTTATTTCTTCTTTCTAGTTTAACACCACTTTTTTTCCAGGAAGGATCGTATGTTCTGCTAAAGACCCCAGAAAGCCACAAACCGAGTAAAGGCAGTACAGCAGGGTGGGCTTTGCAGCAGCTTGTAAACTTGTAGAGTTCTACTTGACTCTGCTAGTCCTGAGATGAGCGTGAAGTCCCATTGTGTGGCATTGCCATGGTGTGACTTGAGCTTTGGTGTGCTGGGGGGGCAGGGCTTCTGTGAGCAAACATGAGTAGTACCATATTTTTTTTTTCAGGTGGAGAAGCCATCTGGCTAGCCCAGTGATGGCCTGGGCAAAGTAAACTTTACAAAAGTGGGTGTTGGGAGTTTCTCTTGGCTGATTTATGTGGAGGGTGGGATCTGGGGAAGGGTTGCTTGCAGGCAGAGTTGCTGCTGGGACATGGGGTGGGTGGGAAGGCTGCTGCAGTGCTCGGGCTCTGGTGAAAACTGATCTCTTAAATGACAATATGTGAGGGGTATGGCGACTGCCTGGTTTGTTGGAAGTAGAAGGTTTTTTTACATAATCATTTAATGCCAAAAGCTAGGGAGTTCCCAGTAAAGTCTGCTGTGTTTGGTGTTTTTTTTAATGGGGTGGGTTAAGGAAACTTGCCCAAATGGGTACTGGGAGACCCCATGGTGGGGGTTAGAATGGTTGAGTTCAGCTGGGGGGGGGGTGTCTTCAAAGGCGGGTGTAATCTGTGCCCTTTCAGGGGAATGTAGCCAGGTTGTAAGGGTTGTGGCTGTTGGCGTTGTCTGGTCAGTTCTGACAGCTGCTTAACTTGAAATGGCAGTCCTGGCATCTCTGTGCCGTGTTTCCGTGCTGGTGCACTTTGCCTTTCACTGGTAACTGTGTGTTATGTATGGTCTTGGTCATACAGCTGTGCTAGCAGAACTCTTCTAACGATTGCTGTGTCTGCTATAAGAGATTTTCCTCTGATTACTTGAGGTTTCCTGCAATTGCTTCTGCCCTTCCTTCATCTTTATGCTTTTTGCAGTTCAGGCGCTTCGCAAGGTTTTGCTTTTTCCAGGTCAGCCCCCTGGGCAGGTTGCCCAGAGAGGCTGCGGAGGCTCCTTCCTTGGAGACACTCGGAAGCCATCTGGAGGTGGCTCTGGGCAACCAGATCTAGGTGGCCCTGGTTGAGCAGGAGGGCTGAACAAGATGACCTCCAGGGGTCCCTTCCAACCTTAGCCGTGCTCGGATTCGGTCACTTGTGGCTGGGTGTGTCACAGCCCACTGTTTGCTCAGTAGTGCACAAACTCCCCGAGCAGTTTATAGTCCAGAGGAGATAAAGCACTGAATAAATTTACATTACGTAACTTTTTCTACTGCTGATTTGCTCCATGGTAAAACTAGCTGTTCTATCTTCCCTGGCTCCTGATGAAGAGATGTCCTTTCTCAAGTTCTTGTAATAATTAAGCTCTGGTGTATGGTAACATTTACAGACGCTAACTGGTCAAGCAACACAGGCTGTGGGTGCAGTTTGTTTTAGATCCAAATCTGTAAATGGTGGGTGCCCTTTCTGCAGGGTCAGTTGCTGCATGAGAACTGTTGCAGGAGTGTTGCTCAAATATGGTGTGGAGCTCAGGCTCACTAGGCGATGTTAGGTAGAGCTGGCTTTGGGGTTTGGTCTGGGGGGGACCCTGGGAATGTGAGGTGTAGCTCTCTGGGTCTGCACCACCCTCCCTCCCAGCGCGTGCCTGCTCTAGCTTCATCCGGCCCAAGCCAAACCTGTGTTGTACCATTGCCTCTGCTGGTACTTCTGGCGCTCCTGTTCGTGGATGGCTTGGAAGCGGAGCCATGTGTGGAGCCTGCTTCTAGCTGATGTTGCACCCGAGGTGATGAGCAGTGGGAAGAGGGGGCAATGTTCAAGCATTTTGTGGCTGTGGGGAGCAACTCGGGCCTGGTTTAGGCAGCCTGAGCTGATGGTGTGAAACTGAATGTGTCCATGTGCTATTTTCTAGGAAGATTTTCTTAGGTGAGGCTTGTGCTGAAAATTAACTGACTAGAAATGGCACAGAACAGCACATCCTTAAAGCCACAGTACAAGGAGTGAAATCCCTGGATGCTGTTGTGTTGCAGCGCTGCCCTGGGTGAAGTGTGGAGCCGGGCTCCCAGCTGCGTCACGGCGAGGACGCAGGGATGCTCGTGCTGGACTTCCGCTGCTCTGGTAGGAGCTGTGTTATCGAGGGTTCTGGTCCGCCAGCTCATGGAGAGGTGGCAGTCACTAGCTGGAAGAGAAATTTCTTTATTAATAAAGAGAAATCCTTCCAATTTATCTTAAATAATGTGAATTAGGGAAACGTATGTAAATTACATGGAAATGCAAGTATGAATTTACATAACATGCATTGTTTACACTGAAGAAGTTATGAACAAAAGAGGTATTGGGCAATGTGAATGATTGATGTTATGATACAACATTTTTTTTTCTTATGGTGGTAACTCAATCTGCTTAGAGCCACCTATTCATAACTCAAATAAGAATTTAATAGGCTTTAGCCAGAATCTATATGCTATTAATATGGAATAATCCTAATGCTCCCATATAGGCAACAGATTCTGGTAATGTCTTTTAATCCTGCTGCAACCTCAGCTTTGTGGCTGGCCTTGGTGGGTTTTCTTACAGCTTCAGTTAATTTCTAGTTTGTTCTCTCTTTTAAAAAAATTAATACTCCAAGACTTCAGGATTTTTCTTTTGTGCTTTTAAAAAAATATACTTCTGTCTGGTTTAGGAAGACAAATGAGATAACCCTGTCACACTGGGGTTTAGATACATTGAGTGTTTTGTTGTGGTGGTAACTGCCGCAAAACGATTGTGGAGGGAAAGCGAGGGTTAAGGCAGAGAAACACTGGGAATACCTAAGTATTTTTGCAGTCTTGTCAGCAGCTCCTTGGCTACACAATTTTATATTTATGGAACATCTCTGCATCATCAAACCCAGCCTTCTTTGGAACTTGAGGTTTTAAATTAGACACGTTTCTGTTAACTATTTGATAACAAACAGTAAGCAGATGCCTACAATTCTCACAAGCGTTTGCCTGCAACTCCTTTTTGCTATTTTTGAAGAATTTCCTATAGAGGCTGGTCTCATAAGCAGCGGGAATTCAGGTTTACTTAACGGCCACTGGATGTCACTGTTTCTCCATGAAAGTCTGTCGCGAATGCGTGACTGCAGAATTCGGTTTAGTAGCAGTTTAGAATTTATTTGCGGCAAGTTGCAGGATTTTTTGGTGATATTTTAATAGCAATCGTCAGGCGATTAACAAAGCGATTTGACAAAGCTAATCAAAACAGCGACTTAGTTACAGATTCGAAGATGGCAAGGTTAACTCTGTTACGGCATGGAAGAAGTACACAGAGGAAAATTAAGTTGCACTTGAGTTAGAATGATTCCCGGAGAGGCGGTGGATGCCGAGGATAAGGAGGACCCTCCCGTTGAGTCACGAGGTTCAGAGTGGCCCCCCCCCCTTGCTTTTCAGAGAGGAGTCTGGGTGTGGCTGGGTCCAATCTCAGTCTCAGACTTGGTCAATGGTTTATGTGAGTAAGTGGAATCCTCCTGTCGAGTTGTGAGGTTCAGAATAGATCCCCTTGCTTTCTGAACTCTTTTTTCAGAGAGGAGTCTGGGTGCGGCTGGGTCTCAGACTTGGTCAAGTCTCAGACTTGGTCAAGGGTTTATGTCTAAGGATAATACATATCTAGCAGCAGTGTAAGACTAATTAAACCGTACATCTACAGCCTACTTAATTCATGCATGCATGCACACAGACATGATTATATTTTATATATATATAAAGGTATACATGTTAAAAATTCCCCTTGAGTTCAGTGAAATACTTGCGTAAAATGTCTTTGCATTTCTCAGCAAGCGAGGGTTGAGCCTCAGGGAGTGAAGGGTTTCAGCCCAGGCTCCACTGTCGGTCTGTGGCAATGGACCTCCAACTTTTGCAAACTTAGGAGCTTGCGAGGTCTGAGGGAGATGCTGGTCACAGCCTGCTGCGGTCCAGGAGAGCTCGAAGGGCCTCACTTAGGAACCGCTGTTTGTCAGGTTGTGAGATTATTGGCTTCAGTCATCAGCACGTTTCTGTTTGGGCCACGGTCCAGGTCGGTCATCACTGGAATTCCATTAATGATGGTACTGTGCTGCTCAGGTTACAATTCAGGTCAGGTATGATCCAAGGCTATCGGTGATCAAGTGATTGTTCTGTTCTCACTCTTTTATGGACAGTGCTGCCTAATTGTCTGCCTCCTTACATCAAGGCCAAGATCTGACAGGAGTTTCTGAGATCATAAAGCCATCCAAGGAGAAAAGAGCAGGGGAGTGAGATGCACCACCACAAAATGTTATAAAATAACATTACTGTTGGATTTCATATTTTGCTGCTATTTGATTATCAGTGGAGCATTCCTTCAGGCTGTAATCCTACAGAAAGGGATACATCAAGTAGAAAGATACTTCCATTTAAGGAATAAGAGAAGTGGATGGTTCCTTCAAAGGCCTGAGAAATGTATAGCCAGGAGCCTTTAAATATTATGAGGTGAATCTAGTAGTTACAGAAATACCACCATGTAAATTGAGTCCCCAGGGTGATCAGACAAGTTCTGACAAGGAATTTTATTTCAGAATATTTGGATTTTAGACTAGGCACATGGCTGGTGTCTCTAGAGGTACAGGATTCCATCTGTGTAACTATAACAAATGAAGCTGCTAAAATTCATCCCTTCAGTGTGGGTTTTACATAAGTTGCATGAAAAAAAAGTCTGGCCTTGCAAAAATACTTGATATTTTCCCGAGAGTGGTAGTCCACCTTTAAAAG